GCTGCTGGGGATAGGACATCATATGTCAGCCATTGGTTCAATGACACGCCACATCCTGGGGGACAGCACCCTAAGCTCTCAGGGTGTGATTCCAAAACCTGCCTTAGCAGAGCCTTTAATAAGCCGACCATGTCCCTTAGGATGGCTCTTTAGCTGACGCCTTATATGGCAGAACTAGTGGGTCCCTAGAGGGCCATATGCAGCAGCTGTTGAGGAACTGCCACCTTGCACTGCACTAAGAGATTAAAACCTATGAGCTAAGACCTCTGTCACAGGGACGCAAACCTTATTACTATTATGCACTTAGGCTGATGTCACTTGTCACTTTGAGACTTGAGTTTCACATGGCTGTGACTCCCCCTGCTTCAAGCTGCCATGCTGGGAGCTGCTCTCTAGAATGGCTCAGGAGGCAAGGAACCAAGTTCTGCCAATGACCATGTGAGCAACCCGGGAAGCTGACCTTTCTGGAGCTGGCCTTGATGTCACAACAGGCACAGCTGACCCCTTGAGTTCAGTCAGAGATCCCAAAACACAGAACCCACCTACGCCATGTCAAAATGCCTCACCCCCAGAAACTCTGAAATAATAAATATCAGTGTGTTAAGCCACTGAGTTTGGGGGCAGTTTATTATACAGTAATAAATCATTAACGAAACCAGCTAATGCAAGAAAAATGGTAAGTCAGTCAGAAATTACACATCAAAAAGAGAAATCCCGTCGCCTGTTATCTCCCTTCCCAGAAATGACTGTGCCCTATAACTGGTCCAATTTTTAATACTTTAACAATAGTAGGATCCTAAAGGTATATGTTTAATATACATACAGGAAATCTTAGCTTTATAACCTCAGTTGGTTTTTGGTTTGCTTGTTTGTTTGTTTTGATTTGGGTTGTTGGGTTTGGTTGTGTTTTTGTTTTGTTTTTTAATTTGGTTGATGCCAGGAATGCCCTACCACTGAACTGCATCCCCATACCTTTTTATTCTTTATTTTATTTTGACACAGGGTCTTACTAAGTCATCCAAGCTAGCCTTGAACTTGTGATCTTTCTGCCTCAGCATTCTGAGTATGTGGGACTGAGGCCTCTGTACCCAGCATCAATTGTTTTTATATGGCAATGAAAACAAGTTAAAAGGAAATCCCCAATTACAACAGCAGCAGAACATTTGAAATATCGAGAACTTGAATAAGTAGACATTTATTTTATGTTCCTTGATGAATAAGAAATTTTATTTTTTAAGTGAAATTCCAATAAGAATAATGTACATTTTAGTACATAAAGTGTTTTCTCTTCCTTTGCCTTCTGTTTTTCTTAATAGAATATTTAAGATACATCCAGAAAATTTTAGGGAAAGCAGAATAATGTTAGTATATATGAAATTGGTTTAGTTTAAAATAATTAAGTGCTGGCTCCTTACAGGATCCTGTGTGGACAAAACATTTTCAAGAACTTAGGTGACATCTCAAAGCAGTGCATAACAAATGAGGTTATCAATAAATCATATTAAGACAAACAGCTATAACTGAAAATGTGAATATTATACCCATAATTCACATGGTACATCAAATAAATCTAAAACAGCTATCAGGCCTTCTATCTTAAACTATACATTACTGTGGACATGCAGATTGATTCTCTCCACCTTTTTATTACTGTTAGGATTAAAATCATTATGAGGAACTTTTTTGATATACATATTTTCATACTGATTCAACTATTTCTTTGAGATATTCATAGAAGATGAGTTGCTGGAATAAAAAGGGCATATAATATCCAACTTGGGTACAGAATGTCTCCTAAAATGTAACAGGAATTATACTCCCACTCAGCCTCTCTGGGAGCAAACTTTTTCCAAATTCATGACAACACTTTATTATTCTTTTTAATCCTTGCCAAGCAAGTCTGCCAAAAAAATTCATATGGAATTTAAAAGATCATTTTTTGCATTTATTGCCTGTAGTATTACTGGCTGTTGCTTCATATAAGTAACTCTGGCTCAAGTACAATTATTCCGTATTAATTGTGTCTTTCATGTTCTACTCCATCTCTTTAAAAATAATTCAGATTCTAATCCTTACTAATTTCTAAAGGAGCTGTTAATAAATTGAGCCTTTTGTAATTCTTACTTATATTTTCTCCATTAAGTTGGCTTTTGAATCTTTTCTTCCTGAAGTAAGGGTTTTTGTTTTTTTTTCAGTTTTTAACAGTCAAATTTACCAACCATTTCATCTACATTTTTGCTTAAGGCATCCTATCTTCTATACCTGAGGATGCAAAAAAAAATTTACTTAATCTGATATTCTGTTTTTTAAATTTCAGCTTGTATAGCTATGCAAACAACCTTTACTATAATTTGCAAAGTGAGAGTTTAATTTTTTACTCCAAATGTTTGGGGAATTGTGTCACATGATTTTTCAATAATCCATTTAACAAAAAGTCTCTCTTGTTGATTTAGAATGGCATATTTTCATATAAGTTTTCATAAATAATCATTTGTTGATGGATATCAAAATACTCCCCCCCACACAGTTTATGTGCCTAAAACAGAAAAATGCATTATTTCTTGCACTCTGTATATTTACTTGGATCAACTGGGTAGTTTTCCATGTGATTTCATCAGGAGCCAAGGTCATCTAGGGACTTCCCTGTCCTCTATGTTCAAAATGGCTCCACTTATTTTGTCTGATTTCTTTGTGTGGTAGCCAAAGGCGAGGCATAGCTGGTTGCAGGGACAGATAGGTCTCTCTTTCTCTAGGTGGTCTCTGAACCTTTCTTTCTACTCTTGGTCTATCCTCTTGGTCTCTAACAGGGAAGCTGGATTTCTTATGCAATGTGGAAGAACTCTCCAAAGGGCAAAGCTGAAGCTGCCAGAGCTTCTTAGGTCTAATTTTCTAAAACTGGTAGCGTCCTTTCCAATGCATTCCCTTGTCAAAGGGAGTCACAACATCAGTCGAATTCAACACAAGAAGGAAAATATGCAAGTCTTGAATACTTGGAAGTTTGGTCCATTGAGGGCCACTTTTGGAGACTAGCAACCACAATTACTTATATTTCTTTTCTGGAGCTTGACAGTAATATATAGCTTTCATGCCTTCCAATGAGTAAAGTAACAGCTTTATTTATTCAACATGTATACAACACATTCATCGTTGTCCTCCTGGCGGAACATTTTCCATATATATTCGTGTTACACGTGAGGTAACTGATATTGTTAAAATATATTGACATGATATTTTTATTAAAATAAACCATAAATTGTGATTTCCCCTCCTGTAAAACTGTCAGAAGGGCATCTAATGTTAAACTCAGGCATCTGGGAATCGGGATCACGGCTATTAGATTGTTTTCTTCAGCGATATTTGTAGATACTCTGATTTATCTTCCATTTGCAGCCGGTTCTTGTGTTTTCTGGGAAGCCGGCCATTACTTTTTATTCCCTGGAGTAAACCCTGCGGGTCCTTCCTGTTTTCTTTACACACTGTTGGAGTTTCTTCCAGTCTGTAATTTCCCTTTCTCATCCACAGCCATCGGGGAGACTGACACGAAGCTCTTCTCTTTAAATTCGTAGTTCACAGCTGTCAACCGAGAGTGGGGGACAAGCACGCCCGCTCCTCGAGGGACCTCTCGATCTCGGGGCGGCGGCCGCGGCGCCTTGTGGGTAATGTGGTCCCGGAAGGGCGGAGAGCGCCGCGTGGAGAACCCTGGGAAGGGAAGCCCGGCGGCTTCGGCTGCGCACGCGCCGCTTCCGGCCTCTACCTGGACGCCCTTCCGGTTCTCCGGCTCTTCCGTGGGAGGGTCCTAGAGCCTCAGCCTTCCCGCGTCCTGGCGTCAACTTGGCCTGGGGCGGAGTGACAGCAACGCGGGTGTGCCCGCAAGTTAGAGGAAGGGCTGGCGGCGCGCCCAGAGCACGCGGGGGTCGGAGGGGAAGGTGGGGCTGGGCGCAGCAGGCCTCGGGTGTGCGAGGTGCAGGCGCGCCCCTCTCGTGGAGGCCCGCCGCGGGGTTCCGATGGTCGGGAGCCGGGCAGGGAGGGCAGCGCTGGGCGCCTGTCCCGCAGGCCTCGCGGCGGGCGCGCTGCAGCCCCTCGTTTCCTGAAGACGGTGCTGGGTGAAGGAGAGAGGTTTTTGCATCAAGTGCTAAAGTCTGAGCCCAGAGTTCCACAGATGCCCCTGGACCTGCACCCGGGGGTGACTGTGGCCCGACAAAGCTCCAGTTCAACTTGGAGAAGAAGGATGCGAGCTGCCGTGGAGGGAATGGGCAGGGCCCAGATTTGACAGGAGGACCCTTTTTTGGAGGATCTGCCAGGTTTTGGCTGGAGGGGCGGGGAGCTGGCCATAGCTGAGGAAATGGTTTCTCCATCACTTCCGAACCGCGTACATGCCATTCCCTATGATCTCCACTTCTGGTTTATTAAGAGCCGCTCAAACCATGACAGTCACCACTCCTGGGATTTATTGAATTTCCCCTGTGTAGAGTCACACCGTGGAGGTAAAAGTTTTTAACAACCTTTTAAATTTTCCGTATTTTAAGATTGGAATTTGGAAAGTAAATATTCTATTCATCTGTGCGATTTGCTAGTGACAGAGCCAAGAATTGAATCCTGGTTTCTCAATTCCCACCACGTTTAGGTTAAAACGAGTTTCTTAGCAAAAAGTTCTTTTGTGAACTTGTGATTAAGGGAAACCAACCTTTAAAAAAGATAAACATCTTAAAGCGCTTGGATTCCTTCTATCTGGATCCTCTGATCTCATTGACTAAATATAATTAGTAGGGAAATGGGTAAGTGACATCAATATTTTCCCATGACAATAAATATTTTAATCCTAGAATCAATTTTAATGCTGAACTACTGTTCCAAATTTTGTATATAATAACTTTTGTTGATCCAATCTCCTATTACTTGACTCACATGTTATTTTTAAATTTTTCATAGGAGGCATAAATTGGCAGTAATTCAGTAGAAAACATTTGTTTACATTCACTCAGAGAAACTCCATGAGGGGAAAAAAAGAAAGAAAAGGAGAGAAGCTCTATGTCATCAATTCACAACTATAAGTGGACATTCCCCAACCTGTTGCTTCTGTACCAGGTTGGTCAAAAGACCATTTCCTTATGTGGAAGTGTGCCTGTCTTTGTAGGTAACTGTAAGGGCTGCTGTCTAAGCTGACCTCTCATGCTTCCCTTCCCCATTCTTCCTTACCCAGCTCTGCTTTCACCATTCTTGGCCCTTTCTCAAGAGCACCTGAAAATGAACAAATCGCAGGTAAGTTGTTTAGGGATTTTCATCCCAGATTTTACAGTGGATTTTAAGAGGTTTACAGTTTGTGTTCAGGTGAAATCGAAGCAGTATATAAAATTTGCCATCAGAGAGTAAGAGTATCAAATCAATTCTGGAAAAGTCAGCCTAAATAAACAGAAATCCTATAGATGTATTCAAATTGTTCCAAAAAGGCCCAGACAAGGAGATTTCGCCTTACATTGGCTATTAGCATGGGTTTTCTTTCATTTATATACATAGACGTTTTCTTAAATAGTCTTTGAATAAGTAATGCAACGACAGCATTACGAAAAGCAGTTGTGTGTGTGGAGGGGGAAGCAGTGGGTTTCCTGTGACTTTGATAGCCAGGCAAAGTACATTAATCATAGAGAACTAATTCATCGTCATCCAAGTAGATGGCAATCTGATGATTGTCCATGGTCCATTGATGAAACCGAGAATAAATCGATTGCACATTCTGCAGATAATAGTCTATAACTGTTTCTCTCAGATATACTTTTAAGACAAGTTTTACAAGTAGCAATTCAATGTTATATTCTGTAGGTAAAACTTCACTTGCTCTTCTTGATTTAACTCACTTTGTGTGGTCTTTGTCTCCTCCTGCCTCTCCCATAGATCTCTTCTAGTAAAGTTAGCAGCAACCTAAATATTTTCAAATGCAGTGGGTTGTTTCCAGTTCATATTTTCTCAGATTGATTATTGCATTTGACAGTCTGACCACCCTGCCCCAAAATGCACCTCCAATAATTTCTGTGAAATCACTGATTCTCTTTCTAACTCTCTAATCATTGTCTCTGTTATATAGTCTTCTTCCCTTTTGTACCTCAAAATCATTGTCCCATTGCTATCCTATTATTCTTTCTGATGTTTTTCATGCATTTATGGTTTAACTTATAATTCTTTGTACTTTGAAATCTTTTTCTACCTCTAATAACCTCAGCTTGAGGTCCTTGCTGAACATCTCCATAAAGATATTCAGAAAGTTCTTGGAGTCCTCCTGTCCAAAATAGAAATAATATTTGCAGTCAGTTTTCTCCTCTTCTTTATTCCCTATCATTGCCATTACCATCCCACCAGTTATGCAAGCCAGAAAATCGGATACATCTGAATTTTTCCTGTTCCTTACCTCATACCATGTCTAGTTACCAAGCCTTGCTAATGTCTAATAGATATTTCTTGAATTTGTTCCATACTTACTTCTTCTGCCCAGTTTCTGTCACTTGATTGTCATAATAGCTTTCTGCCTACATACTGTTCCCACCTGAAAACTTATAAGTGCTTAATGAACCTCTAAAATGCCAGTCTGATCATGTCTTTTCATATGGAAACGACTTAAGTATGACCATATTACTTACAGGATAAAAGTTTAGTATTCTTAGTTAGTGGGACTTATAAGGCTATTCTTTTTAATTCCTGCCACTCTAGACCTTTCATTCAACAACCGTGTTTTGATCAACTTTTATATGCCAAACATTGTGCTAGGTACTTCGTGTATAGTGTGGACAAAAGAGATATTATCTCTGTTCTCATGGAGCTCACAAGCTAGTTCAGAAGAACGGCATCAGACCAAATATCCTTTGACCAAAATATTTTGAAGAAGACAAAAACTATGCATGTTCCACCATCTCCTACTTCTCTCTTATTTGATGATGTCTACCCACGCCATCTGCCTTCTCTTTTACACAAGGGTGGAACAACATACCATGAGGTATGGTTTCTGGCCTCATAAAGGAGCGATAATGGAACTAGATGGTGCAACCCAAACGTGTAGGCAAGGTGACTTCCCTTGGGAAATGAGGAGGCGGGCAGATAAACTGACACATCTTTTTCTCATCCATGGACATTCCAAGGTCAATTTCACTTTGTGGTCCTTCTGAAGTTCCGTGGGTCACTACATGCTCCTGCTGAGGTACCTGCTGCCTCTTTGGAACCCATGTGAAGTGCACAGTGTGATAGGCCTCTCACATCTCATTGCTCTTGCCTGCCCTTTCCTCTCTCCCTTTAGTACTTTAGTCTTTGCCTTAGGTTCTGTTTTCTGGAGATCCCAGCTAAAACACTTCTTCCCTTTGTCTTGGTTTGGAAATCACAGATAATCTTATATAATTTTATATAATCAGCATAACTGTATAGGAGAAATAAAAGCCAAGTAACTTAAAACATGTTTTAATATGGATTTGTACAGATACATGAAAAGTCAGAGTAATAGCCTGATGTTTAAACCTAGAGGTTGAGAGACTGGATATGATAATTACAAATTTACAACTTGTAGGTGTAGTTCAAATATCATTGGCAGCATTTCCATTAGAGATATTTTTCAAAGAATGAAAATTACTAAAGTTCCAATCCAAATCAAATAACCGTGTTCCCTGATATATTCAGTATTTCATTTCAAGAAAATTTAGTCTACATGAGAAAAAAATAAATATAAATACATATGTGTTCAAATGTAAAATGGAATAAGGGTCTAGGCTCAGATCATTATGAATAGATTCATCATCTATAGGAATATTTAGGACACTAGAAAATTACAGAAGACTTGGGACATTTCTTTCCTGTATGAAACTGTCCTGTGTTGTAGGAAGTCTACCATCCCTTGTTCCCTCTCCCTCCAAATTCAGCAGCGTGCCACAGAACATTGACAGTCCAAACTTCCTGAACAGAGGTGTAAAATGCCCCGTGTGCCAGGTGTCAACCATGCTGAGCACTGCTACAGTGCTGAGTGAGTGCATTTAGTTTCCTCAGCATGTCCCAAATTTTATGCTCCTGCATGTGCCTAATGTGCTGATTGTTCTCTGGCTCTTTATCTTTTCACCTTCCCTTGTTTGTGACCACAGCCAGGAGCCATTTCTTCATAGAACCCATTCCTGCCTCTTGTCTTCTGCCCCCTGGGCTGTGTTCAGCATTATAGCTGTCTGCATTTCTGCATCAGTGTAGGGTCTGCACATTACCTGTGGGTCTCCACACAAGTAAGGCCATTGTTTTTGGCGGTGCGGGCCCATATTGCATTCCTCTCTGTGCCTACTGAGAGTAGTGCTCTACATTTCTTTGTTGAGGGTCACCTGTGAACTCTCCTCTGCTCCGAATGAATTATCAGTCCATTAGAGTTGCTTACAGAGTTGACCTGAGTCACCAGGAGAATCGAGTTTATTATAAGGTGAGTGTGTTACTGTTCTTACTGTGGACCTGTGTTACAGGCCACCATGTCTGCTTTCATGAATACAGGACTCTAGTGACGGCTCTTTACTCTCACAGGCCTTTTGTAGTTATTGGGACCTTACATGTCTGTTGTGCCTGCAATTGTAAGACACTGTTTATTGTCAGGAGGCTTATAGCTACTTTAGAGAAGTAATTCTTAGAGGAAATAATATGGGTATTGTGACTGTTTCTAGCTTATGTATAGGAGACAGTTATTTATGGAAGGAAGGATGTCATTAAATTATCTAATAAAGTGGGCCAGTGTGAAGATACATAGCAGGCTGAGGAAGGAGAGACTGAGGTGAGCCAGGACAGCCATGGAATGAATGGGTGAATGTGCAGGATACGTACCTAGAGTACAGGATATGTCTGCATACCCTCTGCATGAGGGTATACAGAGCTGGAGATGCACTCTGTTTTTTTACTGCTTTATTTTGCAATAATTTTAGACTTAAAAAAGAATTAGAAAAAATCACAGGCAAGGTACTTGCATACCCTTAACCTACTTCCCCTGGTCTTTTGAAATCATAGTACCATGATCAAAACAGAAAATGAACACTAATACAGTAGTGTTATCTATCGTCTCAGGTTTTGCCAGTTGTCCCACTGATACCGTTTCATTTCAGGGATCCAGCCTAGGATCCCACCGTGCATTTAGCTCTTATGTCTCTGTAGCCTCTTGCAATCAATCTGCCACAGTCCTTCTTTGTCTTATGACCTTGACACTTTATTGGCCAGTACCCTGTAGGGTTCATTCTAGCCTTCCCCTTTCCTTATTTATAATTCCTTTGTCTCAGAGGAATGAATCTGGCTCCTGTAGTCTGCATTCTGTTTACTTATTTTCTCATCCAGCTATACCCAGGAGGTAATTTTAAGAATTGCCAATCCACACCCCATGTGAGAAACAAATTTCCTAACTAAATATAATTGTATACAGTTGATTTTACTTAGTCTTACTGAATGTAGTCAAATGCTCTTTTCTAAAGTTACTGTGGATAGTTCTTTCCTTCCTCATCCCTTTCACTGTGGGTGTGACTTATTGTTAATTTGGGTGTTCAGATGTCACTCTTTGTGTTCTGTTTGGAGTTCCCTTCCCTATCCCGTGTGATCGTAGTTACTTGTTTTGGGATAGGTAATATTACCATCCTTACAAACTGGAACTGTACAGAAGGATATGTAGAGAAGTGCCACTCCCCTCGCTCTGCCCTTTCCCTCGCCCCCATACTTTCCACCTGTTCCCACTCTTCCCCTGTAACCAAGTTTGTGGGTTTCTGGTTTATTCTCACTGTATTTCTTTTATACACACATGATGGTTGCGTGTTATTTTCTTTTACATAAAATATAGTGTGTTGTACATATTCTTTTGTGCTTTGCTTTTTTCACTTAACAATATAGCCTCGAAATCATAGAGACTTCCTCATTGTTTATGCCTTCAGATTTTCCTTCCAGTCACCAAATTTCCACCTGCCAACTGACGTCTCTACTTCTGAAGTCCACAGGCACTTCAAGCTCAGTTTTTTTCTTTTTCCTGATTCCCTAATCTCCGCATACAGCGCTTGCATCTACCCAGCTGATCATGCAAATGGTCTGGGTGTTGCACCTCCTACTGCACAACCAACCAATGACCAACTCCTCTGCCCTTCATCATGTTGGATTGATGCCCTTCTTCTGCACTGGAACTACCTGTGGACATCTTAGTTTTCTTCCTACTTGAGGACATCTTAGTTTTCTTCCCCCCAATCTGACCTTTAGGCCACTCTCTTTTTCAGATAATGGGTCAGCAGATGTTTTCTTTAAAGGACCACAAGATGATTATCATTGACCTTGCTGGCCACATAGTCTCTGTCAGCCTGTTTGGCACAGCAGCTATAGCATGGAAGCAGTGCAGACATGTGAACGACTGGGCATGGCCAGATTTGGCTCTCAATAGCTGTATTTGGCCTACAACCTGGAGCTTGTACTTTGCCAACCCTTGTACTTTAGAGTATTGCTTTTGTGGGGTGGGAAAATAGTGGGGGTGATGGAACCCAGAGCTTCTCTACCTCTGAGTTCTGCCCCCAGCACTTTTTACTTGTTGTCTTGAGACAGAGTCTCACTGAGTTGCCAATGCTGGCCTTGAATTTACATCCTCCCGCCTTAGCCTCCCAAGTAGCTGGGATTATAGGCATGCACCATGCTCCCAGTTTAGAGCATTACTTGTGAAATACAAATTTGATTGTGAAACTCCAGTCCTTTCTTGCAAATATCTCTATGGATTTCCATCATTCACAATAGTGGTCTCCAAAGTGGAGAGAATAAGGGGCAGCCCTGGGCCCCTGGGCTTCTTTCTATTCATATATTATCTTGACTAAAAGAATAAAATTATCAGGCTTTATTTGATATTAATATATAGCTTAAAGTAACTCAGAATTACGTTATAGTTTCTAAGTAAACGTATATATTGTTTATATGCAAGCAAGTTTTACTGATGAGTTTTATGATCCCAAAATTCAAGACTACTAATTTAGAAAAAGGTCCCTCAGTCCAGCTCATATTCCTACAAAACAGTTTTTATTTCAGGACAAACATTGACCCCTCTAAAGGAAGACTCCTTTAACATAAATTAGAACTTTCTCCTTTTGTGACTGCCCTTTATCTTTGCTGAAGGTGTGTATTTATATTCATATCACCCAGTGAGAAGGTGTACTCCTGAAGAGCAGGGTCAGTATTTCATGTGAGTTAGTAATCCAGGAAAACAAGCACTCCAGGGCATGGTGTAAACTCAGTACACTTAAATTTTTTATTTAAAAAATGAGCATAGTGACAGGATATTTCCGATGCTTTACCCTCCCACAGAGCACATCTCTCTATAGCTTACCATAAACCTTGGCAGTGGTCTCCTTATTTGTGATGTTCCATAGATTTGGTGTCACTCAATTCTAATCATCTCAGATTAAACAAATTCTTTCAGAGACCAGTTTCATTCAAGGACCTGACTGTGAACTTCACCCATGAAGAGTGGCAACAACTGGACCCTGACCAGCGGCTTTTGTACAGGGATGTGATGTTGGAGAACTATAGCAACCTCATCTCAGTGGGTGAGCAACGTTTCCTTGTGCACCTCCTAAGAGCATGCTTTTCTTCTGTCACAAGAACATGTTGAAATTCTAGAATTTAATTACATAGCCTTCAGTATTAGAGAAGAAAAATGTTAAAGCCATTTTAGGCAATAGAAGTAGGTATATTGTGTGTTTGTGAGAGAGAGAGAGTGCACACACATGCTCCCTGTCCTTTCCTGCCCTTCACAAAAACATTCTGGCTTCACTGAGCTTTTGCTGGGCACCTTCATTGCATGGCTTCTGAAACTATTTTCTTCATGTTTAAGAGATCCTGAAGTCCAAAGAGCTTGGTCAAAATTCTGTGTCATTTACCATTAACAGGGTTTCGTGTTAGCAAACCAGATGTGATCTTCAAATTGGAGCAAGGAGAAGAACCATGGATAGTGGAGGAAATTTCAAGGGAGAGCTACACAGGTAAATAAATGATAACTGAGCAGGTGGAAACCAAAGGAAATGAGAGTTCCCAGATGCCCAGCAACCACAGTTGGCATCTTGTTGTTGTGGGGTTTTTTTGTTTTTTTTTTTTTTTGCGGCTGGGGAGGGTTACTGGAGAATGAACGCAGGGGCACTCAACCACTGAACCACATCCCCATCCCTTTTTTTGTATTTTATTTAGAGACAGGATCTCCTGGAGTTGCTTAGGGCCTTGGTAAGTTGCTGAGGCTGGCTTTGAACTCTCGATCCTCTTACTGAGCCTCCTGAGCTACTGAGATTACAGGCATGTGCCACCACACCCAGCTTCACAGTTGGCATCTTTATAATTTTTTTTTTTTAAGAATCTCTTTATAGGACCCAGATCTTTGGAAGTAATTGAGGAAAATTAACTGTAGTTACTGAAAATATTGTTTGTCCCCTAATAAATATATTCCTTTAATTGAAATGTATAAAGATTATTGCTCTTAAGTTACCTAGCCCCAGGATCCAAGTTCCTCTTTCACCACGCCTCGGCTTCTTTTATTTCTGTAGTATTCTCCTGCCTACCTTGACCTATCCAGTCTTGTCATGGACATGTTTTACACCTAGACATTCATCAATCTGTCTTAGTAAATCTTGCTTGATTTGCATGGTTTTTCTAGTTCCTTCTTCTGTGTGTGATTTAACTGAGAAATAACAGTTTAGAATTAGGCAAACAAAGCTCCTAGCACTCCAGCTGTAAGTCCCCCCCCTCCCTCAGGCTTGTACAGGTGTCTGAGGGGCCCTGCCTCCCTCTAGTCTGGGCCATGCTCCACTCCCAGTTTCCCACCCCGTTCTTCTTTTTATTTGTACAATTCCCGTATCACTGTAAAAATTCCACATTCACCTCTTCCTTCTCGTACTTTTCGATAACACTGATCGTCTTCCTGAGAACTGCTGTGCCTAGTCTCACTGCATCACTGTCTTTCCCTGAAGTCTTCACTGGACTCTTGTCTATTTCCCTACCCAGTCGGCTACACTTGTGGTATGCTTGGTGAACTGTTCCCTGTGACTTTTATTTTTCCTCCCTGTGTTTAGAGTATAAAGTGTCAAAGGTTCTTTGCTAGTTTCCTCTTCCTTTGACACTGTTAAATAGACTGGCATGGATGAGTTTGCTGTTTTCTTTTCCAAAATCAACCAAGTAGGAGATATTTGCACTTTAAATTCTTTACTTCTGTGAGGCTTGGCCTGCAGTCTGATCCCCTACTACAAGGCATTTGTGGAGATTCCTTTTGCATAGAAAATGTGTAAAGACTCACAAATTATTGTTAATTGTGCTTCTTTTTAGAAGATGATGATGCCTTAGAGAAGGACAAGGAAATTCAAGACAAATATTTGAGTCAAAACAGCACAACACTCATTACAAAAAGAGTGAATGCATTTGGAACAATGTTTACTCTGGGCATGAATCTTGTTCCCTCAAGAAAAATACCTTACAAATGTGATCCAGGTGGCAACAGTTTCAAAACTAATTCAGAAATAATTGTTGCAAAGAAAAGCAAAGAAAATATAAAGGTTCCTGATGAACATAGTGGATGTGGGAAGGCCCTGCTCCATGCTAAGCATGTAGAAAGTCATTCTGGAATGAAAAAATGCAACTATAATCAAGCAGTGGAAGCCAGCAGTCAGGAGGAAGATCTTCTGCAGCAGAGCATTCAGACTTGGAAACAACCTTTTGACCACAATAAGTGTGGGGAGCCCTTCTTCAGGAGGGCACTCCTCTCTGCAGAGAAGACAGGATGTGCTGAAAAGAAGCCAAATGAATGTGATGAATGCAGGAAAACCTTTTCTAAGAGGTCCACCCTCATTGTGCATCAGAGAATTCATACAGGGGAGAGACCCTATGTTTGTAATGATTGTAGGAAAACCTTCCGCGTGAAGACCAGCCTCACTCGACACCAAAGAATTCATACCGGAGAGAGACCCTATGAATGCAGCGAATGTGGGAAAGCCTTCATTGACAAATCTGCCCTCATCGTGCATCAGAAAATTCATGGAGGGGAGAAATCCTATGAGTGTAATGAATGTGGAAAGACCTTCTTTCGGAAGTCAGCCCTCGCTGAGCACTTCAGGTCACACACAGGGGAGAAACCTTATGAATGTGAGGAATGTGGGAATGCCTTTGGCAAGAAATCTTACCTCATGGTACATCAGAGAACTCACAGAGGAGAGAAGCCAAATGAATGTAAGGAATGTGGGAAAACCTTCTTCTGCCCGTCAGCGCTCACTGCACATCAGAGAATTCACACAGGAGAGAAGCCCTATGAATGCAGTGAGTGTGGGAAAACCTTCTTCTGCCAGTCAGCCCTCAATGTGCACCGAAGAAGTCACACAGGAGAGAAGCCCTATGAATGCAGTCAGTGTGGGAGATTCTTATGCACCAAATCAGCCCTCCTGGCACATCAGATAGTTCACAGAGGAAAGAAGTCTTACGAATGCAGTGAATGTGGGAAGTTTTTCTGCCATAAGTCAACACTCACGATACACCAGAGAACCCACACAGGAGAGAAGCACGAGGTGTTTAATGAATGCGGTAGAACATCCGTGGTGAAGCCAAACTGCAGTGACCATAAGAGAATGGACACAAAGGAGAATCTGTATGAGTGTCATGAGCATGGACATGCAGCCAACAGAAGCTCACACCTCTTTGCACACCAGAGGACCATGTGGGAGAGACCCTACGCATGCAGTGAGTGTGGGAGGACCTACTGCAGGAAGTCAGCTCTCACTCACCATCAGAGAACACACTCGGGGGAGAGGCCCTACGAGTGCAATGAGTGTGGGAAAACCTTCTGCCAGAAGTTCTCCTTTACTGAACACCAGCGAACTCACACTGGGGAGAAGCCATACGGATGTAGAGAGTGTGGGAAATCCTTCTGCCATAAGTCAGCCTTCAGAGTCCATCAGAGAATTCACACAGGAGAAAAACCATACGAATGTAACCAATGTGGGAAAACCTACCGTCGGCTGTGGACACTCACTGAGCATCAGAAAATACACACAGGGGAGAAACCCTATGAATGCAATGCATGTGAGAAAACATTTCGCCACAAATCAAACTTCCTTTTACATAAGAAAACTCATAAGGAGTAAGTTCAGCAAGGCAACAAATCAAGTAATTACATAAAGCTAGAACTGAATATGCATGGGGTAGTGAAATCTTTTCAGTGTAAGGAACATGGGAAAATTTTCTGCCACAGGTCAGCCCTCACCATACTATCAGAGAGCTCACACAGCGACACAGTTTGTTTAATACACGTGGTATCACATTCAGTGTGATCTCTGAAAATGTCAGCAATTCAAACACTACGCCAAGTGTGCCTCCCTTTAAAAAAAATGAAGTGTTATTTAAGTTTGTTACTTTATTGTTCTCTTCAGTGTTACTTGATAATGTGTCAGCAGGTGTGAAGGTCTAATCTTACTTCATTTTAAATCAGTGCCAGTTTTTCTTATGACAGTTGATTAACTGCTAATGTAGAGATTTATGGTATATTAAATCATCAGGTTAGACAGTTTGTTTTCTGTCTTCTGTCTCCATCTGTTCTGGTAACAGACCCCCATCCCTTTATCTGCAAAGGTGACAATTAGGAGGACTAACCACACTACTACATATCATAGGGGTGTTTTCTTAGAATTCATCTATCAAATTCTGAGAAAGGGGCCTCTGTAATGATGATTAAATTATATTGTATGGGTGCATGTGATTAGGCCGTTTTTATGGAGATCATGTTGAGTCCTGATTTCTGAGTGGGTTTTTCCCTAAGCCCTTTCCTGGCCTCTCTCTGCCTCTGTGCATTCTGCCCAGGGAGCACAAAGTGAGCCCACCTAGTTGGTAAATCTGGGGAGAGTAACAGGCTTGCTCAACTCAGCGGTTTTCTGTCTTCATTGTGGGCTTTCCTGAAAGTATGATTTCCTGTCATGGGTATTGCCAGTGACTAAGTAAGCACATTGGCCTCATCTGTCATTCAGCTAATTGGCCTATTTGGTGGTCATGCCATGTTGCCTTCTCCAAATCTGTCTTCATCTGTAATAAAGGCCTCATCCTGACCCGTAACTGCTGTTGCTGCTGCTTTTAATTTTTGATTATTCAGGTGGGAGAAAATGGTGCTGTTTATTTGGGGCCCTTCAGAGAACCCAGTATAAACATTATTTATTTACCTGCTTATTTGGTCCTTATTTTATGTCCTTCAGCACAATGGACATAAGTATACACATGTGCATGTATTTTATATATGAACAATATTAATATGAACAATATTTATCCCTTAATATTTTTCTTTGATCTTGTAAAATGTATTATTTTAAGTGAACCCAGTGATTGCTCTGTGTTTCTTGACTGGTTTTGCATACTGGGGTCTATATATCATGCTGTGCCTTCTGTTGCCCACTCACTCCGGGTTATGTGAAAAACCATGATTCTACCCATCACTGCATTGTTTTTCTTTTTGGTTTGATTTAATATTATATATGGAAAAGCTATGTGTTAAGAAAAAAATTTTCAAATCTGGTGAAAAATGTAAATCCTCAAATCAAGAAATTCAATGAACCCCGAACAGGAAAGAAACAAAAAGTACAAGTCCAATCAAAATCAAATTTCAAGACATAAAAACCAAAACCAATTTAGTAAAAAAAAAATTTTAAAAATAGCCATCCTTGCACGTTGGTGCACACCTGTGATCCCAGCATCTCAGGAGGCTGAGGAAGGAGGATCACAAGTTCAAAGCCAGCCTCAGCAATGACAAGGCACTAAGCAACTCAGTGAGACCTGTCTCTAAATAAAACACAAAATAGGGCTGGGGATGTGGCTCAGTGGGCAAGGGCCCCCGGGTTCAACCCCCAGTACCCCCCACACACACACACACACAAAAAAAGGAATAGCCAAAGAGAAAAAGACTACATACAATAGAGCCTATTCATTTCCCAGGTTGCCATAACAACCACCATAAACTGTGGGTCCAGAACAGAAGTCTGTTGTCTTGCAGCTCTGGAGGCTCAAGTCTGAGGTCGAGGGTTGAACAGCCTTGGTGTCTTCTGAAGGTGCTGGAGGAAGTCTGTCTCAGGCCTCTCCTGGCTTCTAGTATTTCCATGGCTTGAGGCATTTTATCTCCAATGGCTTCCTCATGGTTCTCGAGTTCCCCTTTTCATAAGGGTATACTGGATGAGGGACCCCTCCTGTTCAGGTAAGACCTCATCTTAACCAGTTGCGCCTGTAACAACCTTATTTCCAGATGAGGTCTCATTCTGAAGTACTGAGGGTTATTAGGACTTCATCATGAACTTGGGGAGACAGTTCAACCCGTAATACAGGATAATGTGTTCATTTCCTATTAGTGTACCACAAATTACCCCCAAACTTAGCAACTTAAAATAGACATTTATCATCTCCCAGTTTGGTGGTTTGGAAATCTGGGAGTAACCAGCTAGGTCTGGCTCGGGTCTTTCATAAGGTTGCGGCCATTTAAAGACTAGACTGGGGCTGAAGCTTCCACTTCCACAGTGGCTCTCATGTGGCTGTTGGCAGGAGGCCAGTTCCTCTTCATAGAGCTTCTTGTCCTGTCCTCTCAGCAGGACAACTGCATCTCTCTAGAACAGCAATCCAAGAGAGACGCTATGGCATCTCTTGAAGCTCATCGTTTTCTCTACATCCTCGTGGCCCCACAGACCAGCCTTAGCATGGTGTGGGAGGAGCCCGCACTGGGACATGAAGGCCCACAGGTGAGATTGCTGAGGCCATTGTCACCAGGGAACCACAGAACAGTGGGTTGCCGCAGTCTGGCTGGGCACAAATCACGAACCGCTGATGCAGGAACAAACTTTATTTTTGAACTGCAAGAAAACACTTCACACACGCTCCCGGGGAATTCTCCCAAACGCCACATGGCTCCTCCAGGAACCCCCCAGCCGGAAATATCTCTCCCGGAAATCCCTCCTCCTGCACTTCCCCAACCAATGGGAACTCTTGGGGAATCCCCACGAGAACTCCAAAGTAGTGCGAGAACTCAAAAGTAGCGGCCGAGGCGGATAGTAATGCCTCGCCTGTCAACCAATACTGTTGGCAAAATGCCAGGGGCCATACAGACTCGGCCGTGGCTCTCAGCAGTGGGGTAGTTTCAAGAAATAGGCAGCAGCTGCACTGAAATTTATCTTAAAATGTTCCCTTTTTGCAAATGAAATGGGGAATTAGACCATTTTGTGAGAAAAAAATGGGGGGAGAGGTTTTATCAATTGGTATTATTTATATGACTAACACATTTGATTTCAGTTCAGCCATATTGCTTTAAATTTATATCTTCCTATTCTTCTCCCCCAGGATAGCACTGTGGGCTATGTCTTTGGGTATCTAAGAAAGTTTGTATTTCCATTCCATCAGTTACCATTATACTAATGTCCTTATATAATGCCTTAATGTCTCCTGTTTTTTACAGGGAGTAGGAGGGAAGACACAGTCTATTAGTTTCTTACTCTCAGTTCATGATGAAATTGGTTGGTAATTACTTCTTCCCTTTTCTCTTCCTGTTCACCTAGAACCTGGAGTTACTGTGCTCATTCTGTACCTGGGGGCTTTACTTCATCTGAAGATCGGTTTGGTTGGGAATTCCTGGTTAGCTTTTTCTGTCATTGAGTATCCTAACGTGGCTAACCCCAGCTTATCTGGATCAAGGGTCATTCTTTAGAGGTCAGGTGCTTCTGGATATCCTGGTCTCTACCCCTCCACACACTTAGGGCAGACTTACATGACCTGTGTCACCGTCAGCCAGGGCCTCTTGCCATCAGGCATCTGGTTGGGGTCCTAGCCAGTTGCCCTCAGAAACCAAAATAATTTCTTCCCTGTGTCCCTCAGGGTTCAATCAGAAATAGAGGTGTATGTCTATAGATGACAGATTGGTAGATCAATAGTTTTGTTACCAAGACCTGACCTTAGACAATTGCAGGGAAATTGTCACATGGTTGACCCTATGTCCCATGCTGGAGCTTAGAATCCACAGCCAGGCAGTCAGGAAGGAAAGGTGAACCTTAAGTGGGCAAAAAACAAAGACAAGCAGACCCCACAAAGACAGATGGACCTGTGTCAATCGGCGTCCTACAGGTGAAGTTGGTGCCCTTGTCACTTTCCTAATGATTTAGCCCAGAGGCTAGATGAGCAAAAGGAAGATCCCTGGTAAGGGAGAGGACTCTTGGGCCTTCTCCTGGCTCAGTCCACCAAGAGAGCCAGCAGGTAAGGAACAGCAGATGCCTTCGGAGTACACAAGCAAAATGACTGCTGCTCCATCCCTCTGGATGTCAAGCAGAAATGTCCTCTGTGGCCTACCCTCACTGGAAACTACAGAAAGGGAATTCTGAGGAACACAGACTCAGCCAACCTAAGGTGACACAAAGTCACCATTCTCCTGTTTTCCCATCAGGGCTAACGATGGTGGATCCCTTGTTGATTTCTCCAACCCTGCCCTCACTTTTGTACAGTATCTATTCAGTTCACTTTCGTGACTCTTATTTATTCATTTTTTTGAGGGAGTACTGGGGATTGAACTCATGGGCACTTGACCACTGAGCCACCTCCCCAGCCCTATTTTGTATTGGATTTAGAGACAGGGTCTCACTGAGTTGCTTAGCGCCTTGCTTTTGCTGAGGCTGGCTTTGAACTCACCATCCTCCTGTTTCAGCCTCCCGAGCTGCTGAGGTTACAGACAGGCATGCGCCACCACACCTGGCTCTTTTATTAATCTTGAATGTGCTGTTTCTTAACGGGGCTGATTCTGTGATTGGTACCAGAAGTGGCCCAGGGAAACAGATTCTCAAAGTGGAAATGATGGGGTCCTCAAGTGGGGCCTAGGCCAGGTACCACCACCGGTAGAACAAAGGGACACAATTATCCTACTGTGCCTTAGGACAGAGCGATCATTTGGCTTTGGCCTGCCAGAGACAGCTAGTTGATCTTGAAGACCCTAGAGTGGACTTAGATGGGCAGCCTTCCGAGGTGCAAGCTGATGTGTAAGTGACCCATGTCTCAGTCTCCCAGCAGAAACGTGACTGCCTGTGGACAGAGAATTCACAGCACTCCCTCCCGTTCAGACCTAGGCCATTTCTCACACCTCAAGTGGCTTTGGGAAGGACCTTTGAAGGAGGTCCCTGCCCTGTGGTCATACAGTGACTGTGTGACTGGTGACTCTTCCTCTCTGCCTTCCCAGGGATGCCTGTCGTCACTTGCCGCATGGCTGTGCTCTGGAGAAAGGGAGACACCCCAACATCCGTGGGCAATGGCAGCTCAATGGTGGCCTGGAACATGTGCCGATTCTTATTTGTTTGGTACCAAGGATTGATCTCAGGGGCACTTTACCACTGAACCATATCCCCAGCCCTTCATATTTTTTACTTTGAGACAAGGTCTTGTAAAGAAAAAATAATAATAAAGGGTGACACAGAGACAAGGTGCAGAGGCAGGGAAGGTGGCAGAGTGGCTCCTTGTCCAAGCAGTCACATTTATTTATACCAGTAGGTCACCTTAGGTCATTAGAGCCATAACCACATTGTTGTTTAGAGTATCAGGAAGGCTGCTTACTTTGCAGTTACAGTTTACAGTTACAATATGCAGTGTGAGGAGATTTGTGCGGCTCTCAAGAAGGTGCATGTCTGAAGTTACTGTTAGGCGGGCAGCTCCAGGAGCACCTGAGCTTGGTGAAACATTGTAGTTATCAAGCAAGCAAGTTCCTGTATTCCCAGGAGTTTCGTGCCTGGGATCAAGGTGGAAACCCTCGTGAAGAACGTCGCTACAGCAGCCAGGCACCCATGTCTCTTATACGGAAGTTCCCCAGCAGCCAGGCACTCTGTACCTTTGCACAGAGACTTCCTAGCCACCAAGCAGGCCACGATCACGAAGTTTATCAGAGACCCCAGTCCCAAACACAGAACCCCTACAGGGTCTCACTAAGTTACTTAGGGCCTTGCTAAGTTGCTGAAGCTCGCTTTGAACTTGGAATCCTTCACCTCAGCCTCCTGAGCCAGAATATACTAATTCTTAAAGTTCCCAAACACCACCAAGGTCCACAGGTAAGTGGA